GGCAAGTGCAAGAACGCGTTTTCTGTTGCAACTAATGAATGGAAGGTTCAAGTTCTATTGAAAGCATGCAAAGTTCATTCGGTCTCAACACTTTGAGATGAACTAAGGCATAGATGTTGACAAAGAGCTACAATGGCCTTAACTCATGACCACTTTTTGCTTCATTGACCCATCTTTCCTGTAGAGCACAATGGGCTCCAAAACATCCGATCGTGATAGAATGGGAGAAGATAAGGCAAGTTGTTTGCCACCTCTGTTGTTGCCAATGCTTGGGGGTGAACGTACACCTCCGCCTCTGCCCGAGCGTCCAAAGTCCTCCACCCTGCACACAAAGTGAGGATGGAGCAGCTTGACAGAAACATTCCTCTCACCTGTGCTAACTGCCTGATCATTCCAACCATTGCATTTGCCAGTGTTGTGTCAATGCCCTTTTCACAAGATTATTCACTTTTAACGCTCTAGTATGTGGTTTTGATCAACGAGACATTCCCTCTTACCCGCCTCTCTCCTCTCTTCATTTTCTTTTTCTTTTGTGATAATTTGAAATGCTTACTCTCAATGTTGTACCTCATACTACTGTCTTTTCAATTCACTGGGTCATATCGGGGTTAAGTACGTGACTCACCCATAGACGACATTGCTGCCTTCAACAAAATGCAATTGGTTGATTTTGTAGACTATTTCATGATCACCTCCACCCCCTTCAATTCAGAGATTAGCTTACCTTCTAGGTAGTGAGGGACAAATTGTTAGTATCAATATTCACCTCACTCAACAAAGAGCACATTGGAGCAGGTGGTCAATCCCTGAAATGGAGTCTCTGTCGAACAAGAGGGATGGCTAAATTTGTCACTATGCCATAGCTCAGCGATGTCAGCACCGCTTTTGCCTGTAATAATACAGCAGAGCAGAGCCTGACAAGACAGCAGCACGCTTTGACACGTCGCATCAGGCTACTACGTGGGTGTTGCTTCAATGCGCTCAGAATTTTGGCAACTATTGTTGCGTCTCTAGGCAATGACAAGGACCAATACCAAGTCTCATGTTCTTAACCATTTGCACAACTGCTCCATGGGTTAATAAAACTGAAATAAAACATTAACAAACAAACCATTAACCAAGTAAGAAAATGTCGAACAAAACTCATTTTTTCTTTTCTGTTCTTTTCTTCGTTAAAAACAAAGCCAACAAATTTATCCACACGATCGGTCACACGCAAGTTCACGATGATGTAGCCACTGGTTTTCAATGACGCGACAAGGACGAGTATGAACTGCGCGATGAACCGGAATACGAGGAGTACGAGCGTCGACGTCGACGTGAATACGAAGAGCTGTGCCGCCGACGACGCGATCTATCCGAGTAGGACCGCGACCTTCTACTCCATGAGCTTTTACGACTACGAGAGCTACGGCGACGGCGATGACGACGGCTGCTGGAGCGAGAACGGAAATTATCACGCCGACGACTGAAGCTGCTGCGACGACGAGGACGTGAACGACCTGTACTTCTGCTTCGTCCACGGCGTCGACCTGATCTTCTTCTGCGAAATGATCTGGACCTGCTCCTGGTTCGAAAGCTAGAAGCGTTTGACGAGGAGCTCCTAGATGAACTACTTGAAGAGGAGGCAGATGAAGAAAGCGCTCTTGACTTCGACTTTGCGGCCGGTTTAGGACTCTGGAACAACAAGAATAAGTCAATAACTAACACCAACAAATCATAATTAATACACGCTGTGTAAACTTACACTTGCTGACGGAGCTGATATTTTGCTATCGACGGGTGCTTCAGGCATAGGTGCCTTACTCCCACCTTTTGATTCATTAACTGGCGGATTTGTTGAGACCTTCGGGGCTGATTCATTGTCGCTCATATCCATGTCAATGGAGACAGGGACAGCCGGCATCGTCTCCAAGCTGCTCCCAAGTGCAAGCTTCACAGAACTGATTTTAGTTGATGCATTCAACTCAGAAGTTGTAGCATCCTTCTCTGATTCATCATCCGCCTGCCAACGACTGGTTGTCCACGGTCCTGTAGTCGTTGGTGAGGTCGTGGCACTAATGCTACCCTTTTTTTCCTCATCTACTGCCTCCTTTTGTGGCTCCTCTTTGTTATCTACTGCATCATCCAGTGGTGAGTGAACCTGCTCACTACTGACCGCAACAGCCGAACTAGGTTCGGGTGGTAACGGGATCTAGAGATTTAAATTATTATAAAATCAGCAACTTTTGAGCTTAGTTCCTTCAAAAAATTTTGTAATAAGATCTATTTCACAAAGGTGAGAATGCGAACCAAAATTTACAAGTGCGAAATCAATGTGAACTCACATTTAGCGGTGACGTTGAGTCAGTGGGCAGAGCACTGTAATTAAAAGTGCCAAATGGATTAAGAGAACGTCTTTGAGAGAATTGAGTGTGTCAGATTTGTGCAATGACAACAACAAAC